ATCCTGGATTGGCTGAGTCATACCCCGCCTAAGGAAACTCGTTACAATATATATATATATATATATATATATATATTTGTTTTTTTATTTATTTATTTTTTTTTGACTAATAGGTCTCTACATCCAAAGTTCCGAAGCATTTGTTTGCACATTTTTTTTCGACTTGAATAAATATTTCATATCTCATTTATGGAAGTAAAAGACTAAAAAATAGTGCCAAAGCCACGCAAAGTTAAAGACCTTTACAACCATAACCAAAAAGCAAATATAATCCAAGAAAATTGAAAAAAAAGAAAAGGAAAAAATCATAAAAATTAGAATTGAAAACTTTAGTTAAAATTAAAATAGAAAATTGATTAATCACATTATACATACTGTAACTACTGTACTGTATTTTCATTATTTTCACTATTTTTCCACAGCTACCTTAAATCAAAAAAAAACCTAGATTTTTTCAATATGAATGACTGAAATCATCGAAATTTTTACATTGAAAAGTTCAGTTGTAATCAATGCCGCGAATTCTAATTTTTTAAGTAATAAAAAGGAAAAAATACACTCACGTTTCAAGACACCAATAATGGAAATATATTCGGACAAATTCAGTTAAAAAAATGTCACGTTGTTATTTTCTATATTATGTTGGAAAACGCTCAATTTTTATGAATTCCATCTTTCCTTCTAATGTTTTAAATTTTAGTTTACAGAATTTCATTTTTTTTAAATTTTCAATTGAAATAATTCTACTTCAAGCTTCACACATTTGCTTTTCACGACTTGTAAGAAAGTTTTTTGTCATGAAAAAACCGTTAGCTGGTTTTTTTTTTTTTATAAACGACAACCTATTGCCAAAAAATACTACAATTGCAAATGCAAAAGTGCTAATTCTGACTCGCTCAATTGTAAACAAATTTCAGCTCGTATGAGAGTAACTGGCTCGCTCATTTAATTACTCTCCTACGAGCCGAAATTTGCGCTTTTCTGCGTCGAACGCTCTCTCTCTTTGATTCTGCAAGTGTTTTTTCTTTCAAATCTTAAAATTTGCAAAAGGAACAAATGTGAATTTGTTTATTTATTTATTATGGACATTTAATTAATTCTCTAATAAATTCAAATTATATCTTTTTCCCCAACCATCTGGTCATCGCATAGTTGCGATAATGTACATTATATTGTGCATTATACATTCTACAGGTACATTATACATTTTACACAACTTGTAAATGCATTGTGGCAATGTTTCTCCGTACTTTTTATTCAATAAAAATTATCGTACCTGCTAGAATATCTGCAACAGCTTTTCAGTATATATCGTGTTATTATTGGTCTCATATATTCTTTTACGTTTCTCAATTTAATTTTTTTTTAAAATAAATTGGCTCGGTAATTAATATCCTAGAAAATTTAAGAATTATTTTTCATATAAGCCACGTTTTCGTCATGAACTGAAGAAGAAGAACAGCAAACCTACTCATTGGAAATCATATGTCGCGCATTTTCTGTTAAACATCTATACGATTCAGTAACTGTCGTTTTCTGTAAAAAACGTCCAAAATCTATTAAAGTAAAGAAATTGACAAAAAGAAGACGAAGAACCGACAACAAGATGTTTAATCTTATTAAGTTATAGTTGATTGAAAATATGTTTAAAAAAACCGTTCTTTCTTCAATTTTTAGGTTCATTACAATTTTGCCCGTTTAGCTCACAGTAAGCTACACATCTTTCTATGAAAATGAATAAAAGCTACACATGTTTCTATGAAAATGAACAAAAGCTACACATCCTTTTATGAAAATAAACAGAAGCTCAGAAAGCTCCCCGAAACATTTCTATTTTGTTTATGTTTCTATGGCACGTGTTTCTTCCTGCTGTATGAAATTTTTTACTAAAAATGCAGATTAATGCGTGAATGGATGCACATTTATTCTAAAAAAATATTTCAAAAAATATACAATTTTGCAACTTTTCTTATAAAATATATTGTTCACTATGGAAATATAACCTTTGATTAGTTTTGCACAGGCTTTCATAGAACTCGGCGTAACCTTGCATTAATTGATTAATTGTATGAAAACATTCTGCTAAGTTAAGTTGAAACGATTAGTTGGAAACTAAAACTTGTAACCCTGTCATCGATTTTATTGAAATCTATAAATAATTTCGGGTTAGTAGTAAGCCTTAGTAATCTTCGTCTTTGGTGCTAAACTTTTCCAAAACTTGATAAATGTCATTGACTTTTTTTCTTATTTTGCTGCAGGCTGAGAGCCTCATCCATATCATATAACATATTTTTTCATTAATCAAGCGTAAGATGAGTTACACTATTTAATCTTGGGTTTTAAACGAATCTTCTTTACCTTAGCATTCTGTCTTAGGCATCCTGCCTGTTGGCAAAATAGACGAATTTCGATTCGTTTGAAAAATTGAATACCTCGAGGAAGTACGAGTAAGAAACGAAACCGGGATGATATCTTCAATTCCCTTTTAAAAAGCAATCTACCCCTGTGTGAAGGTCGATTAACAAATGTACCAATGGTTGCCTTTTTACAAAAAAAAGAAGAAAAATAACCTTTATAGTACAGTATAGTAGTATTGGTTGTCCGTCTTTATGTACTTGCTTTTCCCATATCTTCGCCGTTTTTGGATTCTATTTCAGAAGAGAGGAAAAAGAAGATTCTCTTTCGAATCAAACTTTTCTTCGACTGCTACACAAATGTGTTGGAGCAAACAGATAGTCATCTTACGGAGGTACATTTTTCACTTTTTAACAACTTCTTCCCGGTTTTGTTTCTTATGGCGAAATAGCGTTTATTGCAAGAGAAATAAAAATTTTTCTTATATTAAAAGTAATGCAGACTCCGCTGGTATACTTTTTGATAATTTCTTGGGGCGCTCCGCTTTGTTTTTCTATTAAAGTATGTTGAGTAAATCAATCATTTGCTACCTACAACATCGACTATCAACAGTTTCATCGGGGTTCAATAATTCATAACATACTACGCTTTCTGGCCCCACCTAAGGCAAAGTGTTATTATATATATTGTAGTCATTTCTCAGACATTTGCATCTTTCCCATGGCGTATACATGTGCGTTAAAATTCTGCTGGATCGCATTTAGGCGGTATGGCATACTTCAAATTCCTTTCCCCTCTCTCTCTTCAAGAACGATCTTCATTTCTCGTATCGAAATAATCACTTTTATCGCCGAAACCAGGTTTCTTATATAATACTATTTGGAAATCGACACAAAAGGAAGTTTAATTTATTTTTCTTTCGATTTCATAAAAAAGGAAAGCAAGTATTGTTATTAGGCCTTAATTCGGTTATTAACGTAACAAAAAAAAGGGCGGCCATAATAACTGGAGCCAGCATGCGAAGTGCAATTGTGTGTGTGTTTGTAATTGTGCTTGTTGAGTTCTTGAAAGTCAAACAGTGTTGCAAACTTTGGCTGAAAACGAATGATATGGTAATAGAAGATGATTGAACGCAAAAAGAAAAGGAAAGAATAGGAAAAAAAAAAATTCTCAAAGGATAAATTAGCTTTTCTAATAAAGCAAGTTACTTCCCCGAGATGACGTAAATTTTTTGCTACAAAGAGATCGAGGAGACAGCCATATAACTTGAAGAACCTAAAGAAATCTCTAATGCCATCAAGCCTGTGATATCTGAAGATTAGATGCTCAGCAGACTCAACAACGTTGCAAACTTCACAAACATCACATGGTATAATACGAATCATTTTTAAAAAAATTTTGTCATAAGTGTGACCAATCATGAGTCTATGAAGAATTTTGATTTCCCAGGAATTAAAAGAAGATACAGAGAAGAGTTTGAATTGAAATGTGGGATTTAATTTATAGAAAAGGCGATTGGATTTAACGCGCGCGATCTGTTTATATTCGTGGTTTAGCTGTTGAAGGATGTGGTTGCGAATTGGTAGTGTATTTGATGGACAAAATTGTTCCATCAACACGAGCTCTCCCTGCATGAAAGTCGGCTTTTACATTTAAAAAAAAGCCGCAGTGGCCATATATTGATTCTCTGCATCTCTTTTATTTATTAGAAGTAGAGCTGACCTGCTGTCAGAAAAAATAACAAACCTTCTGATACCATCGGAGATAGCAACCTTAATAGCATGTCGAATGGCGAGCAACTCAATAAAAGTTGAGGAAAATTCCTCCATAGATGTTTCACGACCGAGAAGCCAGATACATTATGTCCGACGGAACCGTCGGTAGCATATATATCGTATATCGTATCCGTTGTTGTAATAAAAAAGGAGCTTTTCTTGGCATAACAACCTTATACAAGAGAAGTTGACATTTTGTTTTGAGGTAGAGATCGATTCGAGAATGTTCATGAAGACTCTGCATTTGCTGGTAATGAAATTCAAGGGAGGAATTGAATCTAACTTATCAAAAATATGACGATTTTTTTGTTAGCAAAAAGTATAGCTGCAAGTGACAGTATCACTGAGAGATATAATTTCCTGAAAAAAGGAAGGATTTATCATCTCGACTCTAATTAACGTTGATAGTTTTCCCCTTACATGTGGTTTTGACACTCGCCTGGTTACAAATTTACTCTACAATTACCGGGCGTTGCCCTCTATAGTGAATGTTTATAATGGACTGTTCTACAATGCGAAACCAATGATAAGAGAAGAAAATTCTTGGGAAGCTGCAATGCTGAAGCAAAACACATGGCGTATTCTTCCGCGGAATACGTTCTGCAAATCTGCAGAAAAACGACTCGCCATCGTGGTATAATCCTTACGAAGCGAAGGAAGTAAGTTTTCTCTAGTTTAAAAGAACAATCCCTTCTATCTGGAATTGAATAAATTTATTTTTTTTTTCAAGGTCTTTCTAATGACAGCGAAATTGTATCGTCATAACATTAAAGCTGAATCTATTGGCATCATAAGTCCGTACATGAAACAGGTTAAACATTTGCGAAATCTTTTTGTTGATGCCGACGTAGCAATGCCTAAAATTGGCATTGTGGAGGAATTCCAAGGACAGGTATAACTTTCTTAAAATTACACTAATGTTGCAATTAATACCAATGTTGATTTCGCTTGGTCTTTTTTAGAAACGCGATATAATATTAATCTCAGGAGTGAGATCAAGCAAGGAGCATATACGTGACGATATGCACCATAGATTAGGATTCATACGAAACGAAAGATCAATCAGACTCGCAATTTCTCGGCCTCGTTGTCTGCTTATGATATACGGCAACCCCGACACACTCTTTTTGGATTCTCATTGGCGCATGATCATAAATTACTGCATCGATAATGATGCCTACCTCGGTCATTTGTCGGCAACATTGTCTAGCTAGCCGAAGGAACAGTTAACAATCAAGATAATTAAATTACTTTTGGCCTTAATATTCATTTTTTATTTTTTAATTAATAACATTAAGATAAGATAATTAAATTACTTTTGGCCTTAAAATTCATTTTTCATTTTTTAGTTAATAACATTAATTAATAAATAAAAATAAGACTATTTTCCCAGTTAATATATTTTTTAAATATGGATTCAAACGAACAACGATTAAGTTTGTATGCACAGGTCTTCTTCTTGTTGCTCTGCAAAAATTTGTTTTGCTAGCGAGCGTTCTGCAGTAGATCCGAATAACCGACAAATGATGCTGAAATCTATTAATTTAATATTTTGTCGACACATATTGATATTGTTGCAGAAGCGAAATGATGAACGCCATATATAAATGAAAATGAGTAAATTGCAATATGTCTTCTTTTCCTTTCGTTACAGGATATATCTATACTTATACCAGAACACTCGGGCTATATAACAAATTTCAGTTAAAGGTTTTTTTTGGTCTTTATATCTCATGATTTTGTGAAAATTAGAGATTTATACCTATGTATGTAAGTTGAAAAACCAACAAGCAAATATTGCTATTAAAAAAAATTTGGAGAATATATCAAGTGAATGGAGCTTCGCTCTTCTTTATGATCAAGTAAATATATTTTACAGGTCATCATCATTTGACTTGGTCGCTTTTGCTCTTTTTCCATCGATCTTTTTATCTGTTTGGAGATGCCTTCAGATAATACAGCATTGCTTCTAAAAAAGGAAAAGTATACTCTCAATACAATACAATTTCAAGATATTTTCAAAATACTTCATAAAATGCTTGGCATTTATTGTTCTTTGATCGATTAAAAATATGTTGTTTAAAAATGTGTGTGATCCTTTGACTTCTCCGGCACTTTCTAAGGCAAAAAGAAAAATACAACTCGAAATTCTGTTAGAAAGCCTTCTTTAGTTAGAACCATCTATTTTTTATTTAGTATACTTATACTTGTAAACATAATAAGAAAAGCATGCACGCATAAGAAAAACTTTATGTCTATAAATGTCATTACAGTCTTACTTACTTTGAAACTGAAAGTTTCGCTTCAACGCACTGTAGATTGAACGAAATGTAACGTTGGATCATACGTAATACAAATCATTCCTACAAATTTCACAGAGGTTTATTGAAGCGTTTGGAGAATACAAAATGTAGAATGCTTTAATATAAACAGCGAAACGAGATCCAACGTCATTTGGTTTTTTTTACGTATATATACACTTATGTCTATATATAATGTGCCGGCATAAAGGTTGACTTATCATGAATCATTTATAAAATTGATTATACTAATATTCTAAACTTTTATCAGATTATGAAAAAACCCGAATTACCTTCGAGTATTTGCAAGAAATGTAATGCTTTTTTAACTATAGCTTACAAATTTCGGATAATGTGTAAGAATTCTAATAATTATTTATGGGAATTTGTATGCAAAGATGTATCCAAAGAAGAGAGTAGCGAAAATGAAGAGTATTTGTTAGAGTGCAATGAATCAGTCACTGGTCAAACGGAAAAAAATGATACACAATTCCAAAACGAGGATTCCCAAGGTAGTATAAATACTGAACACTTTGCTAATGAGGAACATTCCGAATTTTAGCTAAAATCGACAGAAAACGATGATATGTTTGAGAATCTACAAGATGTTGGTGAACATAGTATGAGGATGACAATAATGAGGATGACGGCATAGAAACTACTGGAGAGGATTTAGAAAATTCTCAAGATTCCTCGTTAAGTCATACAAATGAAAATAATCGTGTAAAAGAACCTCAAAAGTATATTTGCGATATGTGTGGCAATTGAAGAGCCCATTTAGAGATATTATTACATCAAAGCAATCCAAGAACAAAACTTTTAATTAAGCAAATGAAAAAAAGAAAAACTTCTTAAGGCACTTTTACAAAAACTGACTACATAATGTTATATATAGCTCATAAAGAGAATCAACGTCGGTCGAGATAAGAAACACAAGTTTGATTAAAATTTTTTTCTAGAAAAAAACATTTAAAACGCATTTTTTCTTGGCTTTTTATAAAAAAAATGTTCTTTATTTAAAGAGTTTTTTTTTAAACGTTTTCTTCTTCATTTTGTTGAACATTTTTATTTAAATAAATAAACAAAGGAACAAACAAAACAATATTTAATGGAATGAAAGAAGCAGATGAGAAAAAAAAAATTTTTTTAAAATAAAAATCACATCAAAACCATTTTTATTCCAGAAGTATTAATTTAAATAATTATATAATTATATAACAATTTTACATGAGTACCAATTTTTTTTGTTTTCTTTTTTTTTTTACGAGGTGGGCATTGAAAAGTGTTTAGCAGAAAAATAAGAATAATTAAATTCAAGGAAACAGAGAAAAAAAAAACTTCCTAAAAATTTTTATATTACAAAATAATGACCTTAACGAGAATTGAGGGGCAGCAGAATGAATGTATCCCGCGCCCCCTTTGTATTTCAACTTTATAAATATTACATTTTATTACAGTTAAAATGCAATCACGGATTCTTGTTTTTACTTGGAGATCATGCGTATTTTACCCTTTATCAGATTTCTTAACTCTGTCACCATTAATTCATGCTATTCTTTGAATACAGAGGCCACGTCACTAATTAAAGTGGCTTCTACTTCAGGTTTTAGTGACATATCTGCCATAAACGAATTTAAATCACGAGGCAATGCCGGCGTTTTCCAATCATCTAAGGAAAGAGCAAAAAAGAAAAACAATATCCATTATAGGTTCGACAAAGTTTCCAACTGTTTTATTACGATACTATGATCATAAAAATCTTCAAATATTTCGATGACATGGTCGTCGGTTCATTTCGTATTTCGAAAATGACCAAAGGAGGAAAAGCTGCTATGCTTTTAGCTGAAGTAGTTCTATTGCCAAGTAGTAGCGTGTCAGATAGCCAAAGCAAAAAAAAAAAGCATGCCGAGAGCAAAAATTTGTCGCGAACAATTTCCCTCTGCTTCGTAAAATGCGCAGAACACCTACATTCTTTTCTCACTGGAACTACGAAGGAGCATGACACGTCTCGTAACTGATTTCTTATGGGATATGGTCCCAAGCTACCACCGGATGCCAGTTTATGCAGATTCGTCATATTCTAAGCATATGCGCGGTATTTGGAGAATAGAAGTCGATTGTCTCAATTGAATGATTCGATGCTCTTTAGCGGGAGATGCTAACCTCAGATGCATGGCAATCTGTACTTTGGCGCAAAAGCCCTAGATATCTATGGCCAAACTGGACACAAATTGTGAGACTATCAATATAGTTTAGTGTTCATTTAAAATTTGCCTGGATTGAGGGCGGCAGAAAATTGGAAACTCGCCACTTAAGCAGAACTGTTTGGAAAATTTTGGTAAGCGTTATTTAAAAAAAAATGTATAGCTTAGAATGGTTATTGAGATTGAAAATAGATAAGTTGAAAGTTTAATTAATTATTCCGGGACCTTGATGCTTCGATTCCAGGAATCAGTCAATGTTTTCGCTTATTGTTATTGATAAAATACTTACTTATTAGTTTATCACAGCGTTGGAATTCTCTTTTCAAAAGTCTCAATAATTCTATAAGCATTTGGCAGCGTTCCTTTTCGCTAATCACTAATTCAGTCTCGGAATTTGATTTCTTTTTCGGTTTAATTTTACTCGAAGTCTGTAGCTTTTCGTAAAGCGCTGTTAGTATGAAAGCGTACAGCGAGAGTATCTGGAAATAATTAAATAGTTTTTTTTTTCCTTTTTTTTATATATATAAACACATACTTCCAAACTTGCTGCTGTCTTGCTTTGCCATTCACGTCTACGCCATAGGCCATCTTCGAAAGATTCATCGCTTGCGGCGATAATATTACCGCCAAAAATTTACAAGCTGGACAACATGATCGCATTGTAATTTGCATTACAATGATAGACTACTGGCGCCGACATAGAATTGCATTACCAATTGAACTAAATCGCTAAAGAATTTTTCATATGGCATTTCTAAGAGCAGATGCAAACGTGTAGGCAGTAAATTGACTAGAAAACGATTCGGTAAAGGTTTCAAATTTTCGTTGCGCAAACGATTAAACAATTCCAGCCATTCTTTACTTAGAAACTCAATCAGTTCCGCATCTTTATTGCCGCATGGAGTGGAATTGCTACCTTCGTTATTTGTATGAGCAGCATTACTGGCTTGATTCGATGCCAATTCACCAGACTTACTTCGAGATTTCGGACTAATCGATGGTAGAAAGAGATCAACAAATGAAGCTATTAAACGTAATAGCAATAAACGTATGCGTAAAATTTCAACCTCTTGTTGAAAAGAATCTTCACGCTCTGTTTCCAAACCGACTAAATGCACAGGATCCCAACGTGTTAAATGCCAAAGGCTTGCTTACCGCTTTAACTTTATTTGCTGACAATGTTAAAATCGGAGAAGGCATGAATTGGCAGCAAACGTTAATGCCTTTATCAAGGATAGTTTCCCAATTGGCTATATATAAACCGGGTAAAGGTTGCTAAAAGAGACAGCGGTGCTAATAAGGACATTTTGGAAAATAAATAAAAATGAAATAAAAAGAAGTAAAATGGAAAATTTAAATAGAAACGAACACAACGAAACTACAGAAATAAGTGCAAATAGCTTTCTGTTCTTAGCTTTCTCTATAAAATTTTGTATTGAAAAATTTTTCCATACTCTTTGTTAAAAAAAAGTTTCGGAAATCTTTTGATACGGGTTTACATAAATTTTATAAAGTGGTTATAGAGGTGAGATGCATTAGTAAGCAACTTTAATCTACGCAGCTATATATCTTCTTTAACACTAAACGCATTTCCAAATTCGTTTGCATTAAATAAATTAATTTCATTCTAAATTTCTTTTATAATAACGGCAGATTACAAAATTATATTGTGACGGTAAAGCCTCTTTGAGAAGTATTGCCATCAATTTTCCAAAATAGGGGAAAATCGAATGCCACGCCTATAAAAATTGTATAAAACTATTCAGGAGACGTACACGGGGAGATGAATGCATATTTTTTATACATTTATATATACAAGATTATATATTATATTTCAACCACTTGTATGAATATATGGAAAGAATTAACATCAAATTTTTGAAAATAGGGTAAAATCGAATGCCACGCCTATAAAAATTGTATAAAACTATTCAGGAGACGTACAAGGGGAGATGAATGCATATTTTTTATACATTTATATATACAAGATTATATATTATATTTGTATACACATCGATCGTAGCCGTTCTCCCAAGAAATCGGAGCGATTTTACCTGATTAACTAGGGTATTTTTGATAAGAAGTCTGATCTTACGTGTAGAACCTTTCGCAAAACAAATAGTATTTGTTTTGCTGGGGTTAATATATAAATTAAAATCAGCGCATGCATCGAAAAACAAGTTTGCTTTCATCGAGAGGTTATTGACAGCAGCTGAAAAAGATGAGTCCGCAGATATAATTAGGAAATCACCTGCATTTTGAAAAATATGAGTTTTGTCATCTTGAAGGTCATGCAAAGAAGCTGTGTATAGATTGAAGAGTATGGGGCTTAAACAACTGCCTTGTGGGATACCTTCGTATATTTCAACTTTTTCAGTACCCATCACCAACACACGGTTGGATAAGAAATTCAGTATCCACAGCCGCATTTGAAGAGGAATCGAAAAGTTTAAGAGAATTCTACCAAGCTTAATCAAGTTGACACAGTCATAGGCTTTGCTGATGTCCAGGGAAAGCATGATAACCATTTTCCCTGCTTTTTTTAAGCTAGCTATGAGAAATCATAGTTCATTAACGCACATATTCGTAGATTTGCGTTTTTGATAGGCGTAAGAACGAGCTGGAATAATGTTCTCAGTTTTCAGGAAACCAGTTAGTCTCTCCTCAACCATGAGTTGACGGTCTTTATGAATACAGATATCAGTGAAATTGGTCTGAAGCTACTTAAATCATTTAAGTCTTCACCTGCCTTAGGAATGGGCACTATTTTGATGCATCGCAAATCCGAGGGTATAAAGTTGATGGACAGGCAGTTGTTAATTGCATGCAAGAGAATGCTAAGGCTTCCTCCAGACAGTGTTCTGAGCATGTCATACTTGACTCCATACATTTCTGGAATGTAAAACATACATTAGCTCATGCAATGAAAAGGGTATGTTGCTGAGACTACTAAAAGGAATTGAAGAATCGGATTGACACTTGGAATGTAGCTCTTAAGCATATCCAAGTATTTTTTATTCACATGGTCATTCCGTACACCAGAACCGCTTAATTTTCGACTAGAATGTCGATGACTATTGATATAAAAAAACTTCTTAAAGATGAAAATGGAAAAAAAAATATTTTATTCAAAATTTTTACTTATATCTCGTATTCTTCTCGTCTTTATTACCATTTTAATAATTTTTGTTTGAATTTATTGTAATTAAAATTTAATTTGTTTTGTTTTTTAATGTGTCGATAATTTCTTTTCTTTTGCATCGTGTTGGTTGTAATCGTAACATACTGCTTAAGATATCAATCAGGAAAAATTTTTTGAGCAAATATTAATTTCTTTTATTTCAAGGCACCTCTTTGTTTAATAAATTTCACAACTTAACACCACTTACTTTTTCTTTCTGCTCTTGCACCAAACCTCAAAAATGAATTCAATTTATCTTATTTTACCCTCGCATATGCCCAGCCCAGAGTTGCTTTTAATGAATTTCAAATCTCTTATTTTTCCATACACCATGTGTTCATTGTAGAGTTGTTCTTGGTATGATGTTAATACTGGGACGTTAATACTGTGAGCAAAAAATTGTGCTTTGAATTTTACCGAAAAGCACTCCAACGGTATCACAAAATTACTTAGAGATCAATGTACTGCTATCTCAAATTTACCAAAAATCAGTGTACTGTTCTCTCAAAATGAGCACAATCAACCAGTGTGTGTGTGAAAATGACCAAAATCAATTCACTCTAGTGTGAAAATGAACAAAATATATATATTTTTTGGTAAAAACAAACAAAATCTCAGAAAAATTGTCCCTCAAAATTTTTATTTTGTTTACTAAACCACCTACAGCATAAGTCTCTGATTAAATAAATTTCTTAATTGTATATAAAAACAAATGAAACGAAAATTTGAAAAATTAAAAATATCAATTTATTTATTTTTAGCTGTTGATTTTAATTTAAGCTATTGATTATTAATAAGGCAAACATCATAGTTTTGTGATTACGACAATTTATTATTATATTATTCAAATGTTCTGTTATTTCATTCTTCTATAAATTCTGTAATTATGTTATTCTTTTATCCCTTTATTTTGTTGTTAAGACTGTTACGCATCGTTAAGCAATGTTAAGCATAAATAAAAAGTATTTTTGATAAATTGTTACATGAACAACCTTTGTTGTTTGTTTCTTTGTTTTATTGAGTATTATAAATTTGTTTAGTAGTAATTTTATTATTTTTGTACGTGTAGAGTTTTTTTATCGAATGAAAATGCTCCGCCTTATGCTGCCTTGAAAGCTGCCATGTGTTGTTGCTTAGAGCTTTCTCTAGAAACTTAGCTGAGTTATAAGATTTTGGTTGTAGCAATAGATAAATATTTTTTTTAATTTAACAAATATAAATACTAGCGCTTTGCAATTTTACAGTTTATTCCTGCTTTGCCTTTTAACAGATTATTCCACTACTGCTTTGTTTAATTTGATAATAAAAAAAAAATGATGGCGGTCTACTTTTAGGCAAATATTTTCCTAAAAAAGTAAAAATGATATCTATGTTATATATTTATAAAACAAAAACCATTTGTTTTTATTACAGAAAACAAATTGAAATTACTGTACAGCGAAATTTCAGCCCATAAGTACGTACAACCTATGCAAATGGAAATTGAAATTAAGAATAAACATTAATTTTCCGATTATTCATTGCTACTTGATAACAAGCGTGTGCGTTTATTACAAATTGAATCAACAATGCCATATATATATATATATGTATATATATATACATGTCAGATATGTCTAGCATACCCGTTAAATTCGATTCAAATGAAGAATTTTCTCTGTTGTTAACGGTCGCCGTTAGTTTTTTCTCAAGTCTGTTGGTATCATTTTTTTTTTGTTGGCTTCTCTATATAATTCTTGAAATTCAAATCTAGATAGGCGTTCCCAAAATTACAATTAAAAAAAAAATTTTTTCTTTCCCTGTTAGAACAAAAAATTCGTGAAAAAAAAGGTTATTTTCAAGTCCTCGTGAATTAAATCAGCAGTTAGTAGCTAAAATTCACCTGCAATAGGTGATAAGAAAAATAAGAAAAAGTTTGTTTTGGGATTCATGTTAGAACAAAAAGTTTCTGTAAAAAAATATATTGGTGAACCGTTATTTTAAAATTGTGTAAAAACGGGCGTTGACTGTCTTTATTTGGTCAAAAGTTCTATTAAATTGTTGCACTCTACCAAACATATACAAAGCAGAAGCATAGAGATTTTTGCATTTTTAGGTGAATATACGTTATGTTACACATATGAGAGTATATGAGCAAAAAAAAAAAGACACAAACTAGGTACGTAGCAAGTGTAACTTGTAACTTGTTATTGTTTCATCGTTGATTTTATATTGAACAATTCTAATTTTTTTAATCTTAAAGTAGAAAAAAGGACAAAAGAAGGATGCGAGTAAATACGTGGGCTTGGTCGTAGAACACCTGAGCAAAAATTTAACTTCTGTACTTTGCTTCTGTGATTGTGCTAGTTTTGCAAAAGAAAGGTATGAAAATGATGCCTTCTGGCAGAAATAAGTACATGTTATCGTCACCAATATTACAATTGAAATTGGTCTCTTAGTCTCAGTTGTGCTTCTGCAGATTATCTGCTCATGTGGGCCAATGCTGATTCAAGAACTGCCCTTTTTAGCATCAAGAAGTTGCTTCACTTAATACATCAATATATTGGAGAGACGAGGTAGCCGTCAGCATATTAGTGGAGAAAAGTGTGATGATGTTCGTGAGAGCCAACCTTTCGTCTAGTGGGCCTCCTACTCCAGGGGTTGGCAACAGCATTGTTAAACATGTCACGGAAGTCGGTTTTTTTTATTTTAATTCAACTAAAAAAAATTACAGACGAATCTTGATAGAAAATCTTATACTAATTGTTTTATTTATTGATTTTATTTATTTTAATTCTACTTACACATGAAACTCAACTAAACAAATAACAGTCGAGTTTAATTGGCACTTAAAGCAAAACTTATATTAATTAATAATAAAACCTAGTATAAGTACAATAAAACAAATAAGAAGGAAAAAAAGAAAAAAACATGTACACAAGCAGCAT